CTATGAATGTGCTTCTTTTGGGTATATGCCTAAGAGTGGAATTGCTGGATCTTGTGGTAGACTACAATCCACACTGCCAGAGAAGCTATTAAACAAGGAGGACCCTACGAGAGACATACATGGTCCCTGGAGAAGGGGAAAGGGTCAAGATCTCCTGAGCAAATTGGGAGCAAGGGAGGAAGGGGGAGGGAGCTAGGAGAATGAGAAGGGGAGAAGAGGAGGGGTGAGGAGGACATGAGGGAGCAGAAAGGTTGACTCGGGGGAAGAATAGAAGAAAACAAGAAAGGAGATACCATAATAGAGGCAGACATTTTAGGTTTACAGAGAAATCAGACACTAGGGAAGGTCTGGAGATCTACAAAGATGACACCAACTAACAATCTAAACAACAGAGGAGAGGCTACCTTAAATGCCCTCCCCTGATAATGAGATTGATGACTGACTTATATGCCACCTGATAGCCCTCATCCAGCAGCTGGTAGAAGTAGAAGCAGCCACCCATAACTACTCACTGAACTTAACTGGAATCCAGTTCCAGACCCCAGGAACATGGGTTTCAGTGAGGAGTCCTCAGAAACCTATGGGACCTGCTGTAGTATTTCAGTACTTATCCCTAGCATAGGTGTGGACTTTGGGGGCCCAATCCACATAGAGGGATACTCTGTGAGCCAAGACACACAGGGATGAGGCTAGGCCCTATCCCAAAGGATATGATAGACTCAATGACCCTCTATGGAAGGCCTCACCCTCCCTGGGGAGCAGAAAGGATATGTGATATGTAGGGTTTTAGTGGGGGGGGAGTGGTAGGGGAGGAGGGGAGGGAGAGGGAACTGGGATTGACATGTAAAACAATCTTGTTTCTAATTCAAATAAAAAAGAATAATAAAAAAAGAATCTAAGAGGCTACCTTAAATGCCCTTCCCGTATAATGAGATTGATGACTACTTTAAATACCATTATAGAGCCTTCATGCAGTAGCTGATGGAAGCAGAATCAGAGATTTACAGCTAAACACTGAACCGAACTCCTGGAATCCAATTGTAGAGAGAGAGAGAAGTGACGAGCAAAGGGGTCAAGACCATGGCCACAGAAACAGCTGACCTGAGCAAGTAGTAGTTCACAGACTCCAGACTGACAGCTGGGGAACCTGCATAAGACTGAACTAGGCTACCTGAACATGGGTGTCAGTTGGGGGCCTTGGGTAGTCTATGGGGCTGCTGGTAGTGGAGTCAGTATTTATTCCCTAGTGCATGAATGGGCTTTTGGAGCCAATTCCCTATGGAGTGATACTATCTCAGCCTACATACAGATTGGGCGGGCCTTGGTCCTACCTCAAATGATGTGACAGACTTTTATGATCCCCCATGGGAGATCTCATCCTGCATGAGGAGTGGATGGGGGGGTGGGATGGGGAAATGGGGAGGGCTTGGGAGAATGGGAGGGAGAGAGAACCGGGATTGGTATGTAAAATAAGATTGCTTTTAATTTACAAAAATTTAATAAAAAAACAACCAAACCAAAAAATAAACAAAAAGCAAAAATAAAATGCTTTTTAAAAGTGTTATATAATTTTGCATAGGGAGATATAAATAGACATCTGTCCAGATAGGGAACCAACTACAAACCAAGGAGGCCATTCTACCCACGTCTAGCTTGTGGAAGCAATGAGTCTAACTGGGTTGCTTATAGTGTAGGTATGGGTAGATATACAAGGGCAGGGGCAAATGTAGGCAGCCAAAGAAGACTTTCCCCTCCCTATTGACTGTTCACTGCCTATCTTTAGGGTCGAGACCAGGCCTTCTATGCTGCGCTGTGTACATCACTCCAAACCTTCCCTAAGTAGGTCCAGTCTTAGAGTCTCATGGGGGTAACCACAGCTGCCCCAGCTTCAGGAAGATAGTGTACATGTGTGCATGCCTAGAGAACAGAGTTCCACAACAAGAAGACTTTTTAAATCCTTCGCTTCAAGTAATGTTTCTCTCATATCACTCTTAATATTACTCCTTTTACATTAACAAGCAGATGGAATTGCATTCATTGCATTTATGCCCTAAATTTGTATATGAAGTAATCATTTCTCTGGATACAGAGGAAAGTGCATAGAAATAGCAGACTTGGCTGTTCTAAGGCCACACGTTAACTGCATGCAGCAGCAGTGACCTCTGTTGTTCCATAGAAATCCTTTATACCAAAGGGGATGCAGGAAAAATACATCAGCTGGAAATGTTGGAAAGCAGGATGTTACAGACAAGCAGGAGAGGAAGTTAGAAAGAACATTGTGGTACCAGGTTAGCTTCGGAGATATAAATATGCTTTCATACACATAGGTCTGGATAGATACTTAGGTATGCAGGTATTAGTATACAAACACAGATTTTCTAATCTGCCCACTGGGAGGGCCTTGGAGAAATGATACCTCAATAATGATGAAAACCACTCAATCCCAATTTTCATGCCTTATACCAGTGTCAAAAAATAGAAAGATGGCTTCTTGGAGAAATGGCTGCTAAAACAACAGAGGAAGGAAACAAGCAAGATAAAGGCAAAACACTTCATGGTGATGGATAAGATAGTGTGCTTTACAATAAAAGGAAGAGGGACTGTCACCAACATGAAAGAACCCCCAGCTGTCTGGGTGACAAAGCAAACAGCACAGAATTAGATCATAGCTCAAAGGATTTAGTAAATCCCTGTGAGTCCATCATCCTGATATATGTAAGTGACTAAATGAATGAAAGAAAAATAAATAAATAAATAAATAAATAAATAAATAAATAAATAAATGTGGGCAATGCATAAGCCTCCTATGCAGAACTCCAAATGCTTTATACAGATACGCCTTGTACAAAGAGGTGGAGCTTCAGCCCTGCAGCTACTCCTCTCGCTATGGTGAGCTGTGCTTTGTATCTTGCTAGTAGAGGGAAGGAAAGAATTGTAAGGTAGAACTTAGACACCTGGCAAAAAACTTCACCTAAGTGACAAAAGTAACATTATCAGTAATAAGCCATGTTGACAGTGTGCCCAAGATACAACGTGATGAAACTGGTACTTTATAGCCTTCCTCTCCAAAACATATTACACAAAGAAATGACAAAAAAAATCAACTTAGGGAAATTCTGAAAATACCTGTTCGTTGCTCCTCAAAACTGTCAAGGTCATCAGCAACAAGGAAAGTCTCAGAAACTGCCAAAGAGACTCATCAGGCATAATGAATAAATATTTATTTCTCATGGGTGGGATTCCAGTGCCCCAGGAGAAAGCTGATGAAGTCCTAATAAGGGGGACATTTCATAAATAGTAATGCAAGATGTTAATACATGAAATATTGGATGAGGGGATATTTTGGAATGTTCTGCCCATTCTCTGAAATATCACTATTGAAATAGTCTAAAATAAGCTTATTCAAAGAGAGATAAATGGAAAGAAATTAAGCTAAGATTGTTTGGCAGAAAAAATAATACAAAACCAAAAACAAATTCTTATCTTTTCACATGAAGTTTGAGACACTTTTCTGTCTTCCAAGCTCTGGGACAATTTGGTCTTCTCCCTACACCTTGAGCTTTCCCACTGTACTAACCATGATGATTTTGAACTCCTTGCTACTTGCTCAAATGTGTTCTTCTCTTAAAATCTTGATAACCACCCTTTGTTCTTTGTTCTTTTATCCACCCCCACATATTTCACTGCAAACCGTATAATGACAAGCCAAGACACAGCTGACTGGTTTTGTAAGTGGCTTGCTGTTTCTTTCTGTTCCTAGTTTTCTGGTGTTATTTAGGCTTATTAAAGGGAACAGTTTGTCACTAAGAGCCAAGCACAGTCACACCATTACCAAGCAGAATCCCAAATTAAAGGATGGTAGCACCAAGGTGTGGCCACTGCAAGGACTGTGTTTCTACACTTAACAATATCACACTGGACTGCAAACCAAACCATACAATTATTCCCCATGCTGTCCCATAGTCACAGTTTAGAAAGAGTCTTCTGGAATCTTCCATAAAGTCTTACAGCATCCATTATAATTTTCTTCTTGTGTTCATGTTCAAGTGATGATGCTTATTGATTTTATAAATCATCTGGATAGTAAATTTTAAAATAACATACATGCTTTTTATAACGAAATGTTATAGACTGTTAAAATTTATATCCATCATTGTTAGAAGGTGAAAGTTTACACAGGTCCTCAAGCTGAAATTATTACTAATGTGATACATACATATACGCATACACACATACACACTATATACATATGAGAGAGAGCCAAACTGCCTTCTAAATGTTTATATTTATGCCCCTAGACAAGTGTTTCTATCAGCCAGAGCCAGAGAGGCTTCTTTTTTGCAGTGCTTAGTGGTTAATACAGAGACTCATGCTGATCAAAATGCTGAGAATAAATGACTGTTGATTGCTCAGCCCTAAACAGGCCATCTACATCGCCCACTCTAAGACCCAGGGAGCATCACAGCAAAGGGAGTGAAGAGATTGTATGGATTAGAGGACAAGGAGGGGTGCTGTGAAATGCTGCCTTCTGGATGTGGCATGGCCAGTCCAACAATGAATGCATAGCAGCTATGGCAACATGCACGAAAATAAGACATGAATAGGTGAAGGGCTACTTGTGAGGAAACAAGGTCTTTAGGAGTGGGAGGGGACAAGAGAGGGAAACGGGATGAGTATGTTTACAATACATGTATGTATGAAATTAGCAAAGCTCAAATTAAAAGTAATTTTAAAAGGTGAATGTTTATTTTTTATCTGCAAAACAATAGGAAGGTAATTCTCTCTAGTCTAATGCAACAACTAAGCACAAATTTGGAATCCCAGATTACTGTTGAATATTCCAGGGAAGTCAGGCAACAATCAATTGTTTCCTTTTTTTAACTACAATGTTCCTTTCATGCTTTCTTCTGTAGTTTAAACTACAGAAGTAGAGGCACTATCCTCCAACAATTATAAACTCAGAGGTATTTTCTTAACAATATTCCTCCTGTTATTCCTAGACAATTGTCAGAGGAAATAAATCCTGCAAGGAAACCTCAATCAATGGCCTGCTAGAGGATTTCGACAACATCTCTGTGACCCGCTCCAACTCCCTAAGGAAAGAAAGCCCACCCACTCCAGATCAAGGAGCCACTAGCCGTGTTCAAGGCCACTCAGAAGAAAATGGCTTCATCACCTTCTCACAATATTCCAGTGAATCCGATACTACTGACTATGCCACTGAAAAGTACAGAGAAAGGAGTCTCTATGGAGATGACCTGGATCTGTACTTTAAAGGCAGCCATGCAGCCAAGCAAAATGGGCATGTCATGAAGATGAAGCATGGAGATGCTTACTATCCTGAGATGAAGCCTTTGAAAACTGACCTGGCCAGATTTCCTGTCGACTATCACACACACTTGGACTCACTGAGCAAACCAAGTGAATATGGTGACCTTAAGTGGGATTATCATCGAGCCTCCAGTAGCTCCCCTCTGGATTACTCATTCCAACTCACACCTTCTAGAACTGCAGGGACCAGCAGGTGCTCCAAGGAGAGTCTGGCATACAGTGAAAGTGATTGGGGAGCTAGCCTTGATGACTATGACAGGAGGCCAAAATCATCATACCTGCATCAGACAAGCCCTCAGCCAGCCATGAGGCAGAGATCCAAGTCAGGCTCAGGGCTTCAGGAACCCATGATGCCATTTGGAGCAAGTGCATTTAAAACCCATCCTCAAGGACACTCGTACAACTCCTACACCTACCCTCGCTTGTCCGAGCCCACAATGTGCATTCCAAAGGTAAGGTCCACTGCCTCTTCTCCACCAGTGACTAACCCTGCTAAGGAGGTTCTAGATGGCCAGAGTCTTGAGAGCTTGCTGCTTTTGCCATGAGAATCATCATCCAATCCTACCTCATTTTCCCATGGGTCCCTTAATCAAAGGCTTTATGACAAGGCCCAATCATATGTCATTATAATCAAAATTTATCTTTTGAGATCTACTACAAGATTTCTGATTAAAACACAAGGAAATTTATGGTTAATTGAACAGCTTTCTGATTTACTAACAATAAATGCAGTTTGATCACATTTACTAAGTTCTATATTAAGTGGTAACAACTGTAGCTCATTACAGGGAATAGAAAAATAGTCCCAATTCTTTAAAGTTCTTGTGGACATATTAAAAAGAAAAAGAAATATTCAGTTCAAGAGACAGTCTTTCATATGACAGTGTGCTCTTTTACTCGTTTTTTTATTCTTAATAACATTCTTATATGAATATTTTCAATAATAGGTAGCATCTAATTTTTTTTCATAGTTTTAGGAATCAATCGTAGAGTGTGTGTGCTAGGCAGGTACTCCATCAGTGAGCCTTCCTATGCCCCGAAGTATAATATTTTAAATAAGGCTGGTATAAATTTTCTTTGAAAATTGAGGAGCCCACTATATCCCACACTTTGAAGAAGTATTGAACCATGTTTAAAAGCACACTGTTTCCATGAATGTCTAAGTCATTTAGCAATAGCCCAGGTAGTGTACAAGTGGTTGATTTATCCATGGTCACATACAAATGACTTGACATCTCACCTGTACAACTGAAGCAGAAAAGAAGGACTTGAGGCTGGATTGAGGGTCCCCTTGAGTCTCACCCAGTCTAAGTGGGACATGAGTATTAGCATGATGAGTACTGCATTTGTACCAAGGCTTTCTCCTCAGAGGCTTGCCTAATAACATAAGCAACCCTTCAGGGCCAGCCTGCCTGCAGCCATGTGCTTTATCAATTGCAGCCAAAAGTTACCTCAGTTCATTATCTAAGAGGTTTAAGAGAAGTTATTTGGGCAAACAGGAAGTGACTTAAGCTACACCTCAGAAGAAACAAAGGGCCTGCTATTTCAGTTCCCGGGATAAGAAATTTGAAGTGAATCTTGAGAAAAGAAGGTATGAAATAGATGCTGACTGTTAAAATTTAAATGAGCATAAATGTTTTTAATCTCACCAAATTCAATGTATTTGAATGACCATGGTTGGGGTATCATAAACACTTTTACTTCATTCTTACCATGGCAATTGCAGGACCTATGTCTTAAAAGCCAATAGCCAACAGCCAAACCCACATAGCATATGTATGTGTATCTTGATATTTGACATAGTTAGCACAACTCTGACACAAATCAGTCACTGTGAGTACCAGGCTGAAGGAGCCCCCTCATATTCTATTGCTGAGTCAAGTCACCTGCTCAGAATTCAGTAAAATAATGTGGTGAGCTGTTATCTCACTATTCAGCAGGCTTTAGGAGAAAGATCACAAGTTCAAGACAAGCCAGGGCAACAGAACTCAAGGTCTAGTGACCCTCTCAAAATAAAAGGGCTAAGATTTGACTGAGTAGTAGAGTGCATGAATACCAAGGCAGGGCCCTGGATTCAGTCAAACCAATTTGTATGTTTATGGTACATTGAAACAAGCATGAAAGAACTGGTTTGGCTCATAGTCCTTGAGAAAATGCTGTGGAAACACAGCATCTTTCAGCAGTGGGGCCAGTTTTGACCCATTAACATAGTTAGTCCTTTTTTTACTCATAAGTCTCAAAATATTAGATTACAAGCTTCTCTTGAAACTTGACATGTTGGCTTGGTATCTCAGGACCCACCTTTTCATATATGGTTCAAAATGAATTGGTTAGTGATAAATCCTGCCCACACTAGAAGGGATACAGGCTCTGCAATTGGTTCAGGTCCTATCTAGTCTACTTCACTCATCCTAGAGGCCGTTGGGATTTAGCATCATCAAGAGCAAGTCTTACCCACTCATTTCCCAGAAAAGAGCCCTGGTTTAGTGAGTCACATGTCACACACAAGATTTCAGTTAGCTGTCTACATATAAGGTCTAGCTTCAAGCCTCTTATTTCTTCCACTCTAGCTCTTTCCCATTATGCAGGCCTGTGTTGTTTCAGGAGTTCAACTGAATTTTCAAATAATATCAATGATAAATTTCAGGGCTTTCCAGAAATTTAAACTCAGAGGAAGAAGAAGGAGGAAGAGGAAAAGCCAAAAATGGGTATTTGCTTCATTCCTGCAGACTTCCAAATGTAAATCTAAACAGACCTCCTGCCCCAAACTCCAGCTTTTCTAAAGTAAAAACAGTTCATCAGAAATTGTGGCTCAGGAAAAATATGAACCTATTCACACATGGGACTGTCTGCCATGAGGTTTTCAGCATTTTTAATCAAGGGTTCCAAAGGAGCAAGCTGCTCCTCTGGTGTCCCCCAAAACCCCTGAGAACTGAAGAGCAGGTTTTGTGGGAGGGCAGGAGGCGGGAAGCATGTTGGTAATTAAAACGCGTACTTGATTAAAAATATAACATCTCTCTAAAAACAGTTAGGTGTCTCTGTCTTTAGAGCTGTACTTTGCAAAATCAACCAATTGCATTCAGATTTCCAGCTGGGGCAAGGAATAGTGATCACGACTCAGATAATTTGGCGTTGCCTCATGACAGTTTCTAGAGAAGGGTGGGTGAAGTTCACATCCATTGGAAGAAAAGGCACACATCTCCCAGGTAGCAAAAATGAGGAGGGTTATGGATGTGAATTGTGACACCAGTTCAAGACATTTTGTTCTTTAATTGTTTTTTTTTTTAATTTTAATCCTAACTTAAAGTGAAGAACAATGTAGAGTAGCAATGACAACCACACATACACACAAAAGAAAGAACACCCCACTTTTCTTGTTACAAGCATGCCAAGAACAGGAATTGCAATAAAGCCCACTGATACTAATGCGTGTCCTTTACTTATCTATTTTGTTTACTGAGACTGAGCAGATGCAAGCTTGAGGTAGGAAAGAAAAGCTAAACCAAGTATAGAGCCACTACAGAAAACATCAAGAAGACAGGGAGAATGCTTCCCTCTCTCCCCAGCAGAATTGTCTACCTTACAGCAACCTGGCTGGAAGATACTGCCATCTTGTATTTCATGGTGTCATTCAGTGCTCTCCAGGAACCAGGCGTATAGATGTTAGCTCACTCGTCTTGGTGCCACCAGAACACCCTGGGGTAAAGTCACTGAGAAATTCCTGCTGCAGTGACAACTCAGTATTTCACCAGGCATTTGCTGTGTGCCAGATATGCATGCAGCTTCATTAAGCCTTACAACAAGATCTCTTGCCCTTGTTGGAAGTTAAGGACTAGGGTTTGGGAAGCACGTTACCAGCATTTTCATTGTGGTCATGTTTTGGGTTTTTTTTTTTTTTTTTTTTTTTTTTTGGTGTTTTGAGACAGGGTTTCTCTGTGGCTTTGGAGGCTGTCCTGGAACTAGCTCTTGTAGACCAGGCTGGTCTCTAACTCACAGAGATCCGCCTGGCTCTGCCTCCTGAGTGGTGGGATTAAAGGCGTGCGCCACCAACACCTGGCATTGTGGTCATGTTTTAATCCCTGAGATGCATGCGGCCCCCATAGCACACAGTTTCTGAGAGCACCAAGCCTGTATTCAGCCTTTGTCAACTCTTTCTAACACTAATGTCTTGGTGTTGCCACAGAAATTATTTCAATATCTGCATTACACCATCCTCTTTCATTCAGAGGTAGGGTTTCTTAGCCTTGACACTACTGTTTTGTGCCCAGTAATTCTTTTGTTGTGAGGGGTTGTTCTGGCATTACTGAGTATATCGCAGCAACCCTGGACTCTTCCTTATTAGATGGTAAGGGTTGCCATTCTTCACTCATAATAATAAGATGTCTACAATAATAAAACATACCAGCCTTTGCCATAGATAAGGCAGTACAAAATGAGCTCCAGAGCTGCCTTCTACAGCTGCCCTTGATCAAACACTTTCGAGTGGTTAGGGACATTGTTTGGGGAGATAACTTCTCAAATCTGATTCATGACATTGTCATTTACTAACAGGGTAACTGCTTAACTGTGACTCCTAGTTAACTATAAAATGGAGATAAAGACAGTCCCTACTTCATCATGTCAGATGAGGGTTAAACAAGCCCATGTCAGAACAGCCTCCTTACTCATACATATAGCTGACATGTCAGTCTCTATATTTCACATACAGACAGTGGCTATAATACGAGGGTCACTGTGGTCTAAGCACACTGAGAAGCCTTTTGCAGACATTGTCTAATTCAGTCATTACAAGTCCAGGAGAATCCAGGCTCCTTTGCTTTGCAGTTGAGGAAGTTGACATTCCAGAAAGCTGTCTTTATGGGCTTGTCCAAGGATATGAAAGCAGTGGCTGAGCCAGGGTCTGAAACCACATCCCTCTGACTCTAGAGCATGTGCTTCAAGAACATTCTTCCTTTCCTTGAGGAATGTTGACAAGCAGAAAAGTGGGTGTGAGACTTTCCAGTCAGGACATACACTGCTGGATGCCCTCACCTTGCTGGCGAGATTCCTGGTACACAAGGAAAACTCTTTGTACCTTCAGTTCATGCTATGCTCCAGATGTGCCTTGTAGTCACCCATGTGAATTATGGGTAAATACTGAAACCATAAGCTGCAAAGAAAGACTTTGGGGTGAGTAGATCCATAAGACTCACTTATGAATTTATTCTACCTTGGGTGATTGCTTTTTTATGTTTATTTTATGAATTTGAATCATTACACACTATCTGAGCTTGTCAGTGTCTCTTCCTCACATGTAGATTGTTTTAATACTTTGAGCTTATGATGAGAATTAAATAAGATTAATAAACATCAAAAAGTTAGCACATGGCAAACTATTAGTCCTTATGCCCAGGAATATTTCTGGTTAGAAAGCATCTGGTGTGTGTAATCTTTTGTATGTTTTAAAACAATA